ATGAATTATTTTAGAACCTCAAATGTCTTTATTTGTGAGTTATAAAGGAACATTTCTACCTGCCATTTTAACCAGTACATAGTCTGTTTGTATTCCTACTGGTCCCAGTTTAATCTTGCTGTGGTGTCTTTAGGTTATATTGGTGCTGGGATGCTGTCTGCAGCCGTAGCAGGAGGAGTGTTCGCCTCTCCGCCTCCCGCCAGCATCCTGGCTGCTATTCTCTCCTTACACCAAGCAGGTAATCTGCTTCTGATCTCCTCTAGCTTGTTGTTGTTTACAAATAAAAGTTTGGGTGAGTGACGTCCTCCTCGTTGGCTCTTCAGGAGCTTCAGGTGTTCTTCTCATTGTGAAGAACTACACTGGTGACCGGCTGAACTTCGGCCTGGCTGCAGAGCAGGCCCGTAACCAGGGCGTCGACGTGGACATGCTGATCGTGGCCGAGGACTGTGCCTTCGACAAACCCAGTAAGGCTGGCAGGAGAGGCCTGTGTGGCACTGTCTTCATCCACAAGGTGGGTAGATCGTAGCCACACATATTAGCAAAATGTGTGGGATTTGGATTCAATTTATAAAATGAATAAATATGTTGCTGTGAAACCCTGAACAGCTTGCCGGGGCTTTGGCGGAAGAGGGCTGTTCTTTGAGCCAGATAGTTACCAAGATGAAAGAGGTTTTGAAAGGGGTTGGTGAGTGCCTTTCCTCTTTAGATCCTGATCACAGGTTTCTGGTTTCTGCTCATAACTATTTATTTTGTGGACTTTTCCACCGCAGGCACGCTGGGAGTCAGCCTGTCTCCATGCAGCGTCCCCGGGTGCCTTCCTTCTTTCGACCTGCCACCAGGAGCCATGGAGCTGGGACTGGGTGAGGGTCCATGACAGAAGGAGGGGGGGTGGAATAAACTGGTTTAGTTAGAGCTCAGGATGTAGGTCTAATAGAGGAGAAATGCATTAGCAGGTTAAGAGTTTTAATGTCTTTTACCAGGGGAATCCAGGTTGATGCATAATGGCTAGAGTGTAATTATTATGGGATAGAGTGGAGACGGTGCAGAATTGTAAGATGTTTAAAAGTATTATGATAAAGACAACTTAAAGGTATAGTGGAGGATCATCTAAATGAGTGATCCTCCTAATTGTCAATCATTTTGGTGATATGTTTACGTAATGGGGTCCTACGTGCTCGTGCACATTTTCACTTACCATTGGTGAGTCTGACATAGTGGAAAAATAGCAAATCTTCCTTTGGAAAGTAAGCTTCTATGAGCATTGCAAAGAGTAACTTTGAAACAGAGCGTGCACTCCCTCTCGGGAGTGTGTAAGGGGTTGTGCATATGCCTTTTTTTTTAAGTGGAAAGGGCGGGTCATTTAAAAAAATTATAAAAATCCTCCATTATATCTTTAATACATTTAAACTTTATTCATGTTGATTAACCAAAAAAACTTTAGGAAATCCTATAACTTATCTGTAGACAAATTAAACAGACTTTCATCATCCACAATAGCATAATGTGGAAAATTAAATTAATTCTGTTTATGTCTGAAAGATCAACTGTAAAAGTTTCTTTAGATATAAAAGTTTGGATCTTTTTATTTAGTTATTTGGAGCAAGGTTAATATTGTTAACTAAAACTAGAAATTACAAAACCTAGAAAAAAAATGTTTCTTAATTGAATAAAAATAGAAAAATTCAGACCTGAAAAATATTTGAAACTGTAAATAGGGTTTATAGAAGTAATTACAAAATAACAGAATTTTATGAGGAAGTGTGCTTAGTCTTCATTTGTTTCTTCATGAGGTCTAGTTTTTATCCGCTGTACCTCGTTCCACCAGCAGATGGCAGGTGTGACAGTCAGTCATTTGTGATGAGCAGTCAGTCCTTGTCTGGGATTTTATTTCTGTTGTTTATTTATTTTTTCGTTTGCCTTTATGTTTGTCGTATTACTTTAAAACTATAACCAAAATTTATAAAAACTACACTGAAATTAAGTATAACGATATAAACTAAACTAGCAAACAACATAGTGAAAATGTATTAGAACTAAAATGGAGTTAGATATCAGAAAACTATATAAAAATGAAACCGATGAACATTTAAAAACTTTTTGAATGGGGATTTGGAGCACATAAGAGCAGTCAGTGTATTAAATATAAATGGATCATAGTCCCCCTGATTACGGCTCATAGGCTATAGGGCAATCCTCTTGTCAGGAATCAAGCTAACAACTAATTTCAGCACAGATAATTCCCTAAATTAAACACAAATTTAAAACATTCACAGCAGTTTCCGGGTACAGAATGCTGTTTAGAGTCACTAGTGTTACTAGTTTTTTAATTGACTTATTAATTGATTGGGGAGTGTTGGCCCTAGTGGGTTCTAAGAAGGTTGCAAGTACCTGGTTAGATCCCCACAGCCTGCACTCTGGGTCCCTGAGCAAGACCCTTAACCCCACACTGCTCCCCGGGCACCGCACCATGGCAGCCCACTGCAGAGAAGGAATTTCCCCATTGTGGGACAATAAAGGGATTTAAAAAAAACATGGTCTCCTTTTTCAAAAGCCCTGATTTCCTCAGAGCTGTTTATGCTGCAGGTAAAACTGAAAGCTCATAACTATTCCACATGACCAAAAGAAATGTAAGCCTAATGCCAATCACCTCCTACAGTTAGTAGAGCGCTCAGTGACTTTATGTATTTATGTTTAAATGCACAGCTATATGGCATAATGAGCTTCATATGTTGCCTTAGTGATTGATATTATCCAGCCTAACGTGAAAGAAAACATTCCCCTCTGAGAGAGAAAGCAGTTTGAACTGATGTTTTGTACCAATCTGTTGCCCATCAGGAATTCACGGAGAACCTGGGATTAAGAGGTCAAAGGTGAGTCCAAATATATTTATAGTTGTTCTGGTTTTAACATAATATGCAGCTTTATTTCTTTTAGGCCTAAAAACTGTAATTCAATGGGTTATTGTAATAATTGTCAACTAATTCTGTAATCAAGTTGGAGTATAGACTCTAAAACATGCCTTTAACTGACAGAGATGGCTGACACCTGCTTAGAGCAGTAATTATACCAACATTTTGCATTTAAGATTAAAAAAAGATCTTTTTCTTCTGACAATATGAAAGAACTCCTCAAGTGCACCTGGTTTAATTCTGTAAAAAAAATCTTCTTTGAAGAATTTTTGGCTCTCCGATTATTAATCGATTAATCAAAAAAGATAATCGACAGATTTATAGATTTGCAAAATAATTGTTAGTTGCAGCCCTAATTTCTTTGTGTTCTTGTCTTTCAGGTGGTGTCTGCAGATGAGGTGGTGAAGATCGTGATGGATCACATGACCAACCCAGACAGCCAATCCCATCTGCCTCTGAAATCAGGTCAGTTTATGATGCTGTTTATTAGCTGTGGTGTTTTAACAAGCTTGTTCCCCGTTACTGAATGTTTAGTTTAGCTCAGTTCTTTGTAAGCTAAATGCCCATTGCTGGGGAATGCTCATTGGTGCAGTGTAATCCGAAGGTTGTGGGTTTGGTTCCCGGCTCGGGGTCTTTCTGCTTGGAGTTTGCATGTTCTCCCTGAGCATGGCTGAGTTCTCTCCGGGTACTCAAGCTTCCTCCCACAGTCCAAAAACATGACTCTTAGGTTAATTTACTTCGCTTAATTCTCCTTAGGTGTGAATGTGTGCGTGAATGGTTGTTTGTCTCTGTGTTGCCCTGCGATGGACTGCCGACCTGTCCAGGGTGGAACCCGCCTCTCACCTGTAGACAGCTGGAGATAGGCACCAGCAGCCCTCGCGACTCCACTTGGGATAAAGCGTGTCAGAAAATGGATGGGTGGATATCATTGCTGTATATTCCGAATTATAAGCAGCTTTTTTTTCCCCCCACACTTTTAACCATGCAATTAAAGCAAAGGTGCAGCTTTTCTGTGGATTTCTCTGCAACAGCCAGGTAGCAGATGTCAACGCTGGCTATTGAAAAAGAAAGGCATGACGGAGAACAAATGTCCCAAATTCACACATTTTGACATTTATTTGCCCCATTAAAGCTGCCGAACCAATAAAGAGCGTGTGCAACTCCTGTAGAGCTGAAATAAAGAGCCAACAAAGTCCTGTTTTTCATTAGAAGCTCTAACTGCTGCAGGCCATCAAGCTAACAGGAGCTAGCGTTGTTCTTTTTCCCGACACTAGGGGGCGACATTTAGAGCTCCCCCTACAGGTTTGGTGGGGGACATTTCAGTAGATTTCAGCAGGTTATATTTATAAGTTTCAAGTTTAAAAAAACAAAAAGATGTGAGTGTGACTTGCAGTTAGGTGCGCTCTTTAGTCCGGAAAATGCTTTATGTAGACTGAAAGATAAAAAAGAGAGCTTAAATAGGGGCTAGAATCAATAAGGCAGCCAAAATACACATTTCTGTAGATCTGTACATTCTCTTGTCTACACTATAGGATCTGATCCCTAATTTACACAGACAGTCTTTACAGATTAAGTCTGTGTAGAGCTTTCAGCCATCCACCATGCAACATCTGTATTTTCCAATTAATTCACTAAAAGGTAGACTAGATCATTTTGAAGGCCTCACTATATTGATAAATACATGTATGTATTTTAACATCTCTGTTAAGGTCATTATTTGGGGTTATTTATAATATAAAGATAAAATGAATATAGCTTCTCTGTATTTGATGCGCTACAACAGCGTATTCGGGCCATTCAAAGATGGAAAAAAAATTTGGAATATAAATTTTTTGAGTTTAAAGTGGCATAGTTACCAGAATAAACACGTAAATTTACGAGTAAAAAAACACCCAAATTTATGAAATTATAGACATGCAAATTTAGAAGTAAAACTTAGAAAATTTACTAGACTAAATCCAAAAATATACAAGAAAAAACAAGCTCATTTACGATATTCTAAGCGTGCAAATTTATAAGAAAAATTTTGCAAATTCACAAGAATAAATATGTAAATTTACGAGAAAAACAAGCAAATTTACGAGAATATTATAAACATGCAAATTGATTGTATCATTTTTATTTTAAAAACTTACATGAGGAGGCCATTGTACTGTTTGATTCCATCGCTAAAGCCTCCCAATTAATGATGCATTTACATGTGCTTTATATAGCATACTTTAATGTGTATTATAAATAATAATATTATAATAAACTTGTGTTGTTCTGCAACTGTACATGTTTAAATCTTTCAAATTAGCTACTTTTTTCTCCTAAATTTACCTTTTTTTTTTCTTATTCATTTGCTACTTTTTCTTTTTTTTTCTTATTCATTTGCTACTTTTTCTCATATGTTTTAATTTCGTAAATGTGTTTGTTTATACAGGTGTTTGTTGTGTTTATTCTGGTAAATATGCCACTTTGAACTTAAAATATTTTTTTTCCTCCTTGAAGTACAGATTCAGATTACTTGTTTTTATTGCACACTCCTTACATGCTCCTCAGAAACCTTTGAGTGGAGCGGATCAGAGCCTTCGCAGCACAATTTAGGACCAAGGAGAATGGAGGCGAAGCGCCAAAACAGACCCGAAGCATGGCTGCAAGTAGTAGAAACCTAGGGAGAGATGACAAAAGCATGAGAGCACAAGCATCCTAAACATTTATCATGTTTATATTCATCTTAAATTTGGTTAAAATCTAAGAGAGCTTTAGGAGCGTGTGTTTAATGCCTTTCTGACTCTCTCTTTCACTTGCTGACTGCATGAACTGTTTAATAGAATAAAGTTTTTCATGTTTTTATTTCAGGTGACACTGTTGTTTTGTGTGTGAATAACCTGGGAGCTCTGTCCTGCCTGGAGATGGCTGTAGTTACTCAAGCTGCCGTTACCTGCCTGGGTGAGCAAAGGCCGCTTTCTTTCAGCACTTTCAACCTTAAGTTATCTGATAAAATTGTTGTTTAAAAATTTAGTTTTTTTAATTATTGTTTTAATAGTACCAGAAAACCTTTTTTAACAGGAATTTCACAATCTTATCATTAATTAATATCATTGTGAGAGATCTAGATATTACAAAGGACAGTTTGGACTGATATACACTATGTAATTATGAAGTACCATATTTTTAGACTCTTTATGCTATTTATCATATATATATATATAATCCTTGTCTTGTCATTATTTTCTTTGACTTCATGCCTTTTTTATACTCATCAATCTAAGTAAAGGGATCTTCAACCTTTCTCTACTACTTTGTGCCACTGACTTTAAATCAGGGCTGCAACTAACGATTATTTTGCAAATGGATTAATCTGTTGATTATGTTTATGATAATAATCGGATAGCCAAAGGTTCCTTAAAGAAGACTTTTTTACAAAATTAAACCAAGTGAAACTAAAATGATTCGACTTTAATAGTTCAGGATAGAGCATATTGACAGATGAAAAAGTATTTATTTTTTTATTTATTTTTTTGCTAATTGATTATTCTGTTGATCAGTTTTTCAAATAATTGATTAAAGCACCTTTTGTTGTCTGATGATTAAGGAATATTTTCTTTACAGAATTTAAATAAAACAAAAAATGTTTTCACTTTAGGAGTGCTGGATAGGGCATATTGACAGAGTAAAAAACTTTTATATCAAATGCAAAATGTTAATATTTTATTTTTGACAATTTTTGCATAATTGCTTCTCTAGGGTTGGTTGATCTGCCCGCTAAAGACATGTTTTAAAGTCTCTATTCTCCTGTTATCAATTCATCGATTACTAAATCAGTTGAAGATTATTACAATAATCCATTAATCACAATTTTTTTTTTATTTATTCCTTTATTTAACCAGTCCCATTGAGATTAACTATCTCTTTTTCAAGGGAGTTCTGGCCAAAACAGAGGCAAAAGATTACATTAAAAATTACACTACAGTTTATAATTCCATCTATCTATAATTAGAAATTCATAAAACAGTTACAAACCATACAGTATATCTCATTTCCAAACCTTTGAGCAATCGTTTAAAATGTCCGATTGGAATCAAATCCTTCAACTTCCAGTCTTTCTGAAGATTGTTCCATGCTGTGGGGTCAGAGTACCGAAAAGCTGTTTTTAATCTGTTTAATTGTTTTAGCCCTACTTTAAATCAGTGTTTGTTTTATTTGGTTATTTTCCTGAACTTGCTACTATTAAAATGTGAGGTTATTTTTTTTCAGAATTGTATATTTCAGTTTTTGCAACGTTAAGAGATTTTTGTGGCTTCTAAATCAGTTTTTTTGGGGGGGGGTTTGGGTTATTTGCTGTTTTTTTATGAGTTTTTTGTTTGGGTTATTTTTTGGATAACTTTTTAAAAGCTAAAAACCGGATGATAATGTTTCTTCTAAACAGACTTAGGTTATAATAGCCCATCACACACACACACACTCAGCCCCAAAGAAAAAATATAAATATCCACATCTGCGTACATTGGATTTAAAGGAAACTAATTGTTTTCTTTACATTTTTTTTATCACGACTGCAAAGTTAAACCACATTGAAACAGCTCTATCAGGTTTGGTAATGGCTAAAGTTAATGATGGTTTTCGTGAAAAACATTTAGAAAGCTGTAATGATGGATCATATTTCTAATGCAGTCTTTCTGCAAAAGGAAACAGATGAATCATAGCATAAAGCCAAGAGGATTAAAAGCGTGAATCATCTTTATATTGAGGTGGAATGCTTTGACTTAAAGTCTGGAAAAGTTTCTAACAGATATTTCTGCAGCTTCTAAAATTATCTGCCTAATTGATGATTGGCTGATTTATCCTAACTGATAATCCCGAATTATGTTTTTTCTTTTTCTTCCTTTATGAAAATGTTTGTTAAGTTATCTGTCACAAGTTTAATGTTCATACTAAAAAAAAGGGCATCTAATACACATTAATTACATGATTAGCTGTCTGACTTGTACAGACAGCCTAACCAGTTTCATCATTTTATTCACTTTATTTCAAATGTTTCGATGAGGTCTCTGGGGGTTAAATCTCCATGTTTGGTCTCATGCTAGTCTGGAAGCTGATTGATGGTTTTAATGGTTGCAGAGAGCCGTGGGGTGGTGGTTGCCAGGGTGATGTCTGGGTCGTTCATGACATCACTGGAGATGGCGGGAGTGTCGCTGACCCTGATGAGAGCCGACCCTGAAATACTGAGACTGTTCGGTGAGCTCTGAGCCACATAGATCTATTTTATTAGACCTCCATGCTCTGTCTTTGACATGTTTACTTTAGAAGAAATAGTATTAAAGTGTTGAAAATGTGTACAGTTTGAGGTTACATTTATTTTCTTTCTTTATTTTTGCTTTTTTACGTTAGAAAGTACATAATGTCCTAAGAAACACCACTAAATTAACTAAATTTTAAGGTATTTTAGCCTTGATTACAGGCTTATACAGGAAAGTAATTTTAATATCTGGAAAGTTGAACATCAACAATAAAAAATGATATTGTCTGTCTTTATCTCAGCTAAATACTTATTAATGAATTTCAACTTTACAATTTGCAGTTTTGGTTATGAGATGAGTAATTTGAAAAATCTTTTAAGGGGACATGTTTTCAGGTAACCTTTCTGCAAACAAGAAACAGCATCTGTGGATTTTGTTGTGTGCTATTTCCTTACTCCCCAGGGAGGCAGTGGGCTGGGAGGGCACAAGAACACGGAAAAACAGCTCGGTATATTCGTCTTAATCTGTATTGAAACTTGGCTAAACACTGAAGTGGGGCAGTGGAGCTAAAGCTGTGACTGCAGTTTCAGATTCATCTTTAATTTAATGGTTGTTTCAATCTTTGTTATTCTTAAGGAATAAAGTGTAATTTTTTTTAAGCTTTTAACTTTATTAAATTGCTATTCATTTGTTGAAATCATGCCAGAACTCATATTTAGCTTTATTCATACATGTCTAAGTAATCCCCCTGATTTCTGCTTTCTGAGCAGTGCCTACTTCCTTCCCTGGAAAGTTAGTAGCCATCACTATTCTACCTAAAGCATGAATTAGCTGTCCCCTCCAGGAAAAACCTGTTTCAATGGCGTTGCACCTGCCCAGTAAAAAAACATGCAAAGCACATATAAATGTCTGAATTGGCAGCTAATCTGCACAGTGACAGCAACTGTTCTTAAATTCACATCTACTATGTAAAAAGGCATTTCTTTGGCTGCCTGAGATCTCAGGCTTGACTGAGTACTGCAAATTAAAGGTATAGGGGAAGATTTTTGTAATTTTTTATTTTTTTTAAATCCCTGCCCTCTCCTAGCCTCGTGAGACCATCCTGATCTTGCGAGCTTTGAAGATTTCACTCGCTAATCAGTCTGGAGACTCTCC